TGTCGAAACAACCGCGACGCCGTGGGAGGCTGCGGTTGAAAAGCCGGCGGTGCGCATCGTCGGCGGGGAGATCACCAGCATCAAGAATTATCCATTTAGCGTATGCGTGCGACGCGCCCATTTCTCTCACGCACACAAGCCCCTTAACCTTTCACCTTTGCGAAGAACATCGGTACCGTCACCCACACCTCCACCGGATGCGTAGTATGACGACTCTGACGTCAATGACGTGGAAGTAACGCGAAGTGTACTCTGCGAGGTCGGGGATGGTTTTATCAACACTAAAAGTTGACAGAGCGAAATGTTTAACGATTCAACGCGAACAGAGAGAACGACCCATAAAGTCTTTTAACGTTCTTTCGTGGTATTAAACTGTTTCAATTTCTAACCGGTAGTACAGAGTAAAATCGTTCGACGATGATGTGATGAAATGAAATTTTGACTGACGTGTCTTGTGCAGTTTAAGCTTCGAGTGTATTCACGTGTAGGACCAACTTGAATCAGAGATATATTGGTTTTATTAATGAAACACAGAAGCTCTAAATTACGTCGTGCAATTTCGGCACTTCTAATTTCTCGTTTGTGCGATATATACTGACGGTATACTGATGCACTTTAACTGCTCGTGTCAATCTAACCACAGTACATATATACTGTGATCTAACTTTGAATGCTTTCGAGACAGCCGGAAATCTCAATTTCCAAAATCCAAATAGTTAAGCGTTGTCTTGGTTGTAGAATGCATAGAAAGTTGTATGTTATTTTATTCCAAGTTTTAATAGAATATAGGTATAGATATAATTTGAAACGTATCTTTGAATGAGGTTTTACAAAACGTCTTTCTTACAGGTTTAACACGATTTAACAAATTGAGAGTAAACATATAAAAAAGATGTTAAAACTCCTCTCTCTCTCTCTCTCTAATGAAAATCTCATATTTCATTTCATTCTCATAATATTTTCAAGATTTTAAAATTTATGAAGATTTCTGAAAAATTCTTTAAACTTCATATTTTACGTATTTTCTTTGGAAATCATAGAAAGAAAAATCTTAGACTATTTTAGAATTCACAAATAATATAAAAAATAATATAAAATTCACAAATGATGTAAAAAATTCTAGAAAAGACAGGTGTTTTTGAATATTTTTATTCTAATTTGTATAAAAATATTTGAAACATTTTCTATAAAGTCATAAAATGATGTAGAAATTCTGAAAAATTATGTGAAGGATTTTGAGAAGAATTTTCCAGGGAAGCAAGAGAAAATGACTCGTGAAATTGAGATTCAGACGGTCTCGAATATGCTTGGCATTCGTTCGAGCTAGGCGCAAGGGTTAAGGTGGCAACCGACTCGACTCGGACTCGGCGAATCCGAATTTTTCAAAGTCAATTCCTCTTAGGTCTCGGTGCAGCGCCGACCTTATAGCCACTCGTGCGGAGGCACTTACGTCGCCTGTAGGTTCGTCCTGTCGGCCGCCCATTGCATGGTCAGGTGCGTGTCACAAGACTGCGTTTCGCATTTTGCGCTATGTCTGTCGCGGAGGGTGGTGTAGTCTCTCTCTCTCTAGCCGGGGCTTTAGCACTTAGTTCGCCCTATGTATTTGTTGCCCCATCTCCTTAACACGCAATCTTCATTCCTGGGATGTTTCAACAAGGAAGGGATCCCCCGAATTTACATCCCGGAATTAAGATAGCTTTCTAAAATGGGATGAAAAATGAGCGAGAATATTTCACATTTTCTGAATAGAACACGTGGACTCTCCGAAGATGTTAGCAACGCACGACACTCTTTAAGCTTGATTCTGTGTTAATGTTAACTGTGATCTTTTTCATTTAGTGCTATTAAGATGTTGATCTCTTGCTTACTTGCTGATATGTGTAAGAGTTGATGTGTGTATATAAAAGTTATTCGTTCTAAAAGCCTTCGCGGCCAATTATGATTAGGAAACACTGCCACATCGTACAGCGAATTTATCTTTTCATGCTTTTCTGTGATATATTTACCACACAAATTGGGATAAATTTATGTACATTTGCGTTATTGTAATAATATTAATTTTGATAACGTCGCTTTCTTTCACGCAAAAATGCCTTATATCAAAATTTCTAAATCTAGATAAAAAGTATATACGTTTTTTGTAATATATAATATATACTGGAATTTTATATTTAAATTTCTATTTAATTGTTTTAATTCTTATGGATCACTTTATTATTGCAATTTGGAAAGAACTTTGAAAGAAGTGATCCTATAAAGCATTTATTCCTTTTAAGCTGTACAAAATGACTTAAGCTTCAAATAAATTTTAAGCTCCCTGAAAACGCGAAAAAATTTAAATTACTTTCCTTAGACACTATTCTTAAATTACTTTTCCTTAAAGATTTAAATTAATTTCCTTTGTTATCAAATAAACTTCATTTTTATTTTTAGTGTCTTTTTAATGTTTTTACCGTCATACATTTTTGTCACTTGCTTTTAGAACATACAAGATATTCTCATATTGTTAAATTTTCTTTAGATAGATTAAACTTTCGCTTTCACTTATAACTTTTCAAGAAGCTGAGAGAATTAATCTTCTCATTTTTTTGGTATAATTAATCCTTAAATACGGAGCTGTCTATGTGATCTAAATCTCTTTAGATTTAAAGTAAGTTTTGCAAAGTAAAAAAGATCACGGAGGGAGAAATTACTTTGTCTGCTAAAATATAAATTACATCCCGGTATAGTCTTGGAAATGTAATTATATCTATTTGTAAACCAAACCAAATGCCCTGGTAAGACATTTTAGGATTACACCACATTACATGAGGTATTAGTGGCCGTGTTTAACCTCCTTGCTACTGCAGAGATGTATGTAACGTGTTCACACGAGAAAAAGCATAAGGCTTGTGTTTGATGTAATGACGTGTCTTGTAAGATGTAAATCGCTTCCATTTGTGAGAAATTAACCGAACAGGTCGGCAGATTTAAATTTCCAGTAATCTAGTTTGAAAATATGTAATATATATATTTCGAGAGATTGAGTCTCTCTGTAAGAGATATTTATATCTACACATTCTCTATGAAATATTCATTAATTATATAAATATTACAGAGAGATGCATTCTGAACAGCAGTTCTGTAATGCATAAGTCCTAAATGTATTTGGTAGGTAATTTATATCGCGTATGTGAAATATACGCGGAACATTCGGACTTATATTTTCGCTACTGAATGCAATCCTTCTTTCAACTATACAGCAACAACTGGGTGAACAGGATTGGAAGGTGACATCAAAGAGTATCAGCGATCAGGATATAAGAATAACTGCCTGTTGACAACTGGCTTATCAATTATAAAGCGAATTTTGTCTCGCCCCTTCCGTCCCGTTCATCCCCTCTAATTGTATGTATATCTTATTTGTTTTTGACTGTGAGTAGTGATGTGCTGTCTAGCGTATATATTTCACGAGTAACGAGAAGGTTAGCGGCGCTAGATCCTAAGGCAATGATATCTGTCGCGGTATCTATCTGTGTATCGATTAGCTGTGTACTAGCGATGAGATGTACTACTACTCGCGTGAACGTAGTTTCTGTTTTACGTGTCAGCTCGGCCGCTCGTGATTGTACGTAGAGGAAATTGGGGCGCAATCAGTACGTTCGTTTATACGACAGCCACATAAAATATTAAAAGAACGAGTGATTTAAAGGGAACGAGACAAATTGGAAGAGAGTTAATAATTACATTGAAACACATGACTTTAATAAATATATATCCGGTATCGCTTCTCTTTCGTAATCAAACACCAATTTTATTCAATAAATTTTAATTCTATTCTATCTTTCTTTAGTTGATACAAGAATAAATTCGTCAATAATAATTTAACACTTAATTGTTCGTTATTCATTTGTCTTTAATTTTATCAAAAATTTAATTTTCTAATCTATTTGTTATACAAAATTAATGCAGATTTTGTTTCTTCATACTTCGTTTACAAAAAGAGAGAAATTATGTTCATTATATTGTCTTAAAAAAGACAGTATTAACCTTCTTTAAAAAAAAAAAAAGAAATACTCTTTTAAAAAAATTTCATAATTTCGTGAATATTACATATATCCCAAAATTCTTAGTATTTTCCTTCTATAAGTTATACATTCAACACACACAAAGTAAAATCATTGAACCCAACGATATTGTTTAATAAGAAAAGTGTTCTGCCATTAGGTTTCACGTCTGATCGCGTTCCACTTTTCCTCACATCGCTCCGTTGTTTAGGTGACAAAAAAAAACCAAGGTGTATAATTAACTCGTCGTTGTTTAAAGACGGTTGCTCGATGGCACGTGGGCAGCGGAGAATCCACGCCATTTCTATGTGATAGCCGGCGCGACCTACGTGTATTTACCAAGTTGGGGTTCCATGCAGGTGGAATTGGTAGACAAGACATTGCCGCACGCAGAGTTTCGATTCTCGGACATGCGAAACGATATTGGATTGTTCAGGGTGACTGTTTATGCCGTGTATATAATTTTGTGTCGATAATAAAGAGAGCAAACCTTGTAATCACTGTGAGTGGCCTTGCACTGTCATACATGCCCCGCTTTTACAGCTGAAGAGACCTCTTTATAGAAACGCGTACGTCCAATACGTTACGCTTCCGCCGGTGTACATCACGGATATATTCCAGAAATACACGGAGGATTGTGTCGCGATTGGATGGGGTCGACACGTACCCGATTCAAACGTAAGCAAGTTTACAAAGTGTTTTATTTAAATACAGCACATAAGTGAGGATAATATAATGATGGAAGAAACATCTTGCATTTTTTTTTGTGAATGTAAACCAATAAAAAATGGATATACAAACTCTTTTTTCCAGCATTATAGGAAGAGTTTGATCCATCATGAAATAATGATAGAACAATTTTAAATTCCGTTTAAAGCAAACTTTTTCCGATACATCTAATCTTCATCAATTATTCTTTAATATCCATTCTTTATTAGTTCATTTTAGAATCTCCTATCGCGTTTTTCTTTAAAAAAGAAATTTATTTAAATTAATAATTCACTTTGAAAACATGGCACAATTTAATAAAATACAAGAAGAAATACAAGAGGTTGTAATTGACCAATGAATAATATATTTCTTTAATTTTCTCGTGGCTTATTGTTAGCAAGGAAGCGGTACGTATTTGCGACACGTTCGAATTCCATTAATCTCGCCTGACAAATGTCCTATGCCGAATGTGCACAAAGAAAAGCAATTATGCGCGGGTGTATTGGAAGGTGGTCGCGACTCCTGTCAGGTTTGTATTAAATTTTGTATATCTATATATATACCGATATAGATATACAATATATATATATAAAATATATATATATATATATATAATATCCATTCGTACATATACAGGGTGTTCCACCTAACTTGAGCATCTGAAATAACTCGGTTATTTTTGATATATCATCAAAAAATATTCAAAAAATATCATGAAAAAATGTTTCAGATATGAAAGTGGAACGGTTTCAAGGGAGAACGTATTTCGGTCAAGTTGTTTTTTTTTTTTTTAGGTGGAAGCGTCAAAAAGTTTAACACATATTTTATACTTTATTCTGTCACATGTTAGCATAAAATATTAAATATCTCGTAAACTGTTAATTTTTTTATAATCGTACCTTAACACTTTTATGAACTGAATAATGAGATGAATCATTGGTGGAATGAAAACACATAATTACTTTAAAAAAATCTGTATGCAAAATGGATAATTTTTTAAATAAGCAAATATATGTTTTCATTCCACCAATGGTGGTCACGTCATTATTCTATTCATGAAAGTATTAAAATACGATTATCAAAAAATCAATAGTTTACGAGATATTTAATATTTTATACCAACATTTGACAGAATAAAATATCTCGTAAATTATTGGTTTTTTGATATCACTACCTTAATATTTTTATGCGCAGAATAACTAGAGGAATCTTATTGTGTAAAAAAAATTATACAATTTCGTTGAAAAAGTGGAGGTAACCTTTTTGACGCTTCCACTTAAAAGACAACATGACCAAAATACGTCTCCCTCGAAACCATTCTACTTTCATCTGAAACATTTTCGTGTATCATCAAAAATAAGCGAAATATGTCAGATGCTCTTAGGTGGAACATCCCGTACATGGAGTTCTTCTTTGGAAATGATTAAACAATAAGATGTCCTTATCAGGCCTTATCTTTTTAAAGAAAAATAATAAATAAATGAATAACTAGAAAAAAGGAGTAATGTGGGCCTTCATTTTATTTTTTGTTTTTAGTTATAGTCAAGTCTGATATGTAACTATTTAAATGTGATAGCAAAGTGGTTTCCTCTCCTTATTTTTACAAAATCTAATTTCTTCAGGTCTATTTGCGCTTCTTATGAAGTTTAAATAGCTCGAGTTTATAGAAAATTCTGAATGTCTTGAGACATTATCAGATTAATTCAGAAATTTCTTTTCATGAATACGTTCTTCTAACAATACTCTTGTGTTGATTCTGTCCTCGTGAATATTTGCTATGAGCATTTTTTCTCCATTTCACAGGTATTTTTAAGGACTTCTTAAAATCATTTTAAAATGATAATTACAAAGATAATTACAAAGATTTTTAATAAAAAATAACGTTTTGTAATGTTTTTCGTTAAAAATCCCTGGACTTACATTACCTACTTATTAGAGAGATCAATACAGAACATTGATAAAATTTATATTTAATCATGTCCCAGGAAAATTACAATTATTCAAGCTTTCTTATTTATTTAAAATAAAAGAATAACATCTTAAGAATTAATTTAAAATATAAACTCATTACTTATGAATTTTTAACCATGTTAAGCTTGATAATGAAAATCAAAATTTTGACATTGAAAATCATACGAAAAAACTTTGCTATACCTCATAATAGATAAACTGAGAGAAACGTCAATTGTAAAAATATCGGGCCAATTAAAAAAATCATGACGACAATTGTTTCACAATTTCGATACTTATCTAAGAATAAGTTAAAAACAAAAAATGATATTAATTATAACAGAATTTTATTCTAATTTAATTGGGACTCACATTAACAGCCCACATTTCTTTTAATAAATCATTTTTACACTAAACGGAAGTTTTACTTTTTGCATCCAGATTCTACTGCAGCATTTTGAATTTTCAGGGTGACAGCGGTGGGCCATTGTTATGCAATGGAACGCAAGTCGGTATTGTCTCTTGGGGCGAAGGATGTGCTCGTCCGAATACAGCGGGTGTTTATTCTCGTGTGGATTTTTATTTACAATGGTTAAACGAAACTATTACTCAAAATGGAGCCGTGAAATACTCTTTCCAAAATATTATAATTGTTTTTGCAGCTTACTGCCTGTATACTTTATCAATATAATGTATTGATTATCGTATATGTATAAAACAAACAAGTAAAAGCTACAATGTTATATTTAGCTGCAACGTATTATTATTATTATGTTCACCAAGATCCTACTCTAATTAAAAAGTTATTTATTTTTCTTATATGTAAATTGAAAATGTTATTAGTTTGTACAAAGAGTGGTTAATTTTTAATTGCACACAGATTTTAGAAAATGATTTCTCTTGTTATCTTAAAAAATGTCTTTTCAAAATGTATTATTTGATAAAAAAAAAGAAGAATTTTATTCATATTATTAAGATCAGTTTAAGATTCCTATCATCAACAAAAGGAGTTACTTTAAAAAACTATTTCTTGCCACTTTATCAAAAAGAAAAATATTTTTTTCAGATTTTATTATTTCGCAAAGAAAGATTTCGTTCACATTATTAAGACCAATTAAAAATTTCCGCTATATCAAAAGAAACACTTTTGAAAATTATTTCTTGCTGTCTTACCGAAAAGCAAAATGTCTTTTAAGAATCTGTGATTAATAAAAAAACAGAAATTTTATTGTTATTATTAATACCAGTTTAAAATTTCTGTTATTAATAAGAAGAATCATTTTGAAAAATTATTTCTTGCCATCTTATAAAATTTTTTTAGAATCTATTATTTATTATAGAATCTATCATTTTAGAATCTATTATTTAACGGAATAAAAAGAGAGCTTTTATGTTATTAATATCAGTTTAATATCCTGCCATTAATAAAAGGAAACATTCTATTTCCATTTCCTATACTCCTTTTGATATGTTATCTTAATGCAATGGGAGGATATACGTATCTCAATACACAGCAATGAGCGCCATCGTTCTACATTTTCGAGTTTACTCTCTTTCTATATTCCTGTCGTCCCTCCTTCTGATCCTTCTTCTGATCTTTCAATTTCCCTTTTCTTTTTCCTATTTCCTTTTGCTTGATTTCTAGCTTGCATTCTCATTTCCTCTTTATTTAAATTTTGTGTCTTTTTTTTCACTTTGTCTTTCTCTCCTTCCTTCTCCTTCTCCTTCTCCTTCTTCTGCTTTTTCTCCGCCTTCCTCTTTTTCCTTTTTTGGGCAATGTACTGACTGTACGTTGTTCTATTTATAAAGCACATGCATGGCTCACGCATAAAGTAATGCGCAGATAATGTTATGTTATTTATATCAGAAAATCGAACGAGAATCCGCACGAAGGACAAAGCGAATTTCCGGCAATAATAACAACAGGTTCTAAGTGTATCCTTCTCGCGGTCGTTCTCCTCGTCTCTCGAGAATGAACAGTTACGAGTGAAAGTGACGTGGGCCTGGTTGACGCGAGCATATCTGGGGCCCAACAGTCTGCAGACTGCAGTCAAACGAATCGGTGTACCGTTTAACTGTGCGTAATCGACGATATCGGGGTGATTAATATAAACGCCATTCATTATAAAACCATTAACGCCATTTAGTGTCTACCTACAATAAATACAAAAAGAATATGAAACTTTCGCTATCGCGAGTGATTTAGAAAACAGGTCTGATTATAAGCATCGCTAACGTTAGGAATTTATTCCTTGTATAACTTCGATTATCGCGTACCTATAATCTTATCAAGTAACGCAGTGAATTAAAGTCATGATATAGAAAGACGTGCTAAATCTGAAATAAAAATTAGCGATACGCAGTTTAGCATTAAACGCAAGATTCGACGTTTACTGTACTTGAAGTACGATATTGTAAATGGTTCTTTAATTCGAGATACGTTCCAGATTATTATCCGACGCATTTAATATAACGCATCGAAGAAGTTTTAGCGCGCTACGATGTCCTTCAGTGACGTGGCACTTCTTCTTACAATTTTGTTTTTTGGAACGTACGACGTTCACGGTGAGTTCGCCTCTTACTAAGTCTATTTATGATTAATATGTATATTGTACTTGTGCAATAACAATGTCGTATAATATTACACTCGGTTAGCGTGTATGAATAATACCAGCGTTTACTTACATATTAACAAGCGAAAGTAAAAGCCGGCACGCCGCACAATGAGGACGCGACATTTTCGCTCGCGAATGTATATACAGAGTGTCGCAAAAATAGATTCCATTATTGCTCTATCTACGAGTTCTTTGATTCATTTAGTATCGATTTTTCTTTATTAAGAATTCATTTAGTTTCTTGAATGTGCGCTCGGATATACAATTTTCGCGATTTACTGGCAATCAATTTAAATATGTTTTGAATAAAAATAAAACTGTAAAAGACAAAGTAATTGTAATTACTTTCATAAGCAATTTTTAATTTGTGAGTGTAGTATATAAATTAATACCTACGATTAAAAGATTTTTTCTAAACTAAAATAGTCGTTTTAACACACATTAACGATTTTGTATTATACTTATTAATATACCGTATTGATTGTAGTATAAAAGGCAATCTTACAAAAGTTATAATTTTGTGTTTAGCTGCAACAATAATAATTACGTTCATTGAAGATTAATTCTATTCTAAATGAGTATATACTCATGCTTTAAAATAATTATATTAATAATTATATTAATAATCGTATTAATAAATTAAATTATTTTAATTTTTTCAAAAGTAAGGATCTCAAAGTAGTGTCGTTTGTAAAATTAATCTGTTGAATTTAATTATAATGATGTCAATATATTATATTATATACTAATGTCAATATTATGTTATAGGACTCATAAGACCGAAACATGATAAGGTCGTCGTTTGCTACGTCGCATCTTGGGCTGCCTATAGGCAAGGAAATGGAGCATTCTCCTTAGAAAATCTCCGCTCGGAACACTGTACTCACTTAATTTATGCATTTGCTGGTTTAAATATTTCGGACTGGACGATAAGAAGTCTCGATCCTTGGGCAGATATGGAAAAAGATGGTAATAACAATCTTAATGTGTTATCAAGCTTATATCCAATTTTATAATAATTATGAATTATCGTAGAAAGTTAACTAATTAAGAATTAAATTTTTCAAAATGATTAAAGAAACATTAAGCGAGTTGTAATAAAGATTGAATGTTGTGTCTAAAGAAATGGAGTAAGAAAGGGACAATTAATACATAATTCATTAAATTGTCAGAAAAGTTGTTAATTAATTCTTTGAAGACGAGAGCTTTCTAACAAAGAAACTTAAAGGAAACCTTGTTTTCTAAGAGTTTGCGGAGTCGCTGAATTTGATTTTGTGTTCTCAGAATTCTAAAATTTAAATTTCAAAAAAATCTGAGCATCGTGAAACTCAATTTTAGAGGGTTCTTGATATCATTTAATTATTATAGCCTAAAAATGTTGAATTTCAACCAAAAAGTAATCTCTAATACTTCATTAAAGAGGATCTAGTGTTACAGAGCTCATAATCAGAGTTTAGAAGTCATTTTAGAAATCAGTAAAGTAAATGTACAGTTAGTGAACATAAACCAATTGTCGGACAAAGTAATAAAATATTTAAAATATTAAGCTTTTAATAATATGTACGATTCTAAATAAATTGATTATTAAATTCTTGTAAACAAATTTATTTAGAAGCGTACATATCATTAAAAGTTTAGTATTTAAAATTTTGTACCACTTTGTCCAACAAATTGGATTATGTCTACTAATTGTCCATTAACTATAGTACATTTACTTTACTAATTGTGTTTGCGTATAGTATAGATAAGCTTCAAATAAAGCGAAACTGAAAATTTTGTTGTTACATTACAATTAAAAACTCCCTGAAATCGTATTTTATATAATAATCAAATTATTATTTTAAATCTCTCCGCCTTTAATGGATTCATCATTTTGAATTTTTTATTTTTGATTTCATATTCAAATAAAATGTAATTAAATTATCTTATAAGTAATTACCCTCTAGTGAATCATAGGTCAGTTTCATAAAAATTGAACCAAGCATATTGTAAAATAAAAAAGAGTGATTTTAAATAGAGTCGCCCATCCACAAAAAATTATTAATAACTGATTTAATATATTCGATAATTCGAATTATATTAAGCTGGAATTAAAGTTTTATAAACATAATTTGGAAATATCTGGATGAATATAGGAATAGGCAACTACAGAAAAATGACAACGCTTCGCAATCAAGGTTTAAAAGTATCGCTGGGTATTGGCGGATGGAATGAAGGCAGCACAAATTATTCACTAATGGCTTCTTCACCGGATCGTAGGAGGATTTTCATCGCTAGTACTGTTGAGTTTCTCAAGTGTGTTCGCTGCGATGTATTTATCTTCCATGTCCTTCTTCTATGTTATCTTTTCATTATAGAAAGTCAATTCTTTAAGTAAAACCTTCTTTACTGATCAGAAAAAAGTTTGTTATATGCAATGGTTACAATCTATGATTCAGTTAAACATTACAATATCTATCGATAATTAAAATTGAATTTTGATCTACATTTTGATTGATTTTATCTGTATTGTGTTGTCATCAATTATACTGTTAGATATTTTATAATTTTTTTTTTTTATTAAATTTTCGCAACAGAATGTACGGATTTGACGGACTGGATCTTGATTGGGAATTCCCTGGAAGTCGAGGAGGTGCTCCGCATGATAAACAGAATTTTGTTAGTCTTGTGCAGGTAAAAATATTATATTTTATTATTTGTATGTTAACATAAAAAATAAATCCATTATTTATCTTGCGATAGGAATTGAAGGATGCCTTTAGAGAACATCGTTTTTTGTTAACCGCAGCCATAAGTGCCATCAGTTCTACTATCGATGTGGCATATGATATTCCCAAAATTTCTAAATATCTTGATTACATTCATGTGATGGCCTATGATTATCACGGAGCGTGGAACAAACAGGTTCTTCCAAATTCACCACTGCGAAGCAAAGATCGATTAGATGTGGTAAGAAATATGATATTCGTAGAAATATTACTGTACATATATATGCACAGACATGTTGTAAAAAAATCAATAGTAACGTCTAGCCACCTTATATTATAAAAGTACTCCAAAGTAAATTAATAAAATACTTAACTAAATTTGTACAATTCTTATCATGACTCCATAAATAAATTAGTCAATCATCGTTTTATTTTAAAAGATGAAAATTTTAAGAGAAATAAAATATTAAAATAAGAGAAAAAATAAGAAGCATACATGTGTAACTCTTGCTGAATTGACGTTGATATCATAAAAATTACTAGAACAGAACATAAATTAAAGTTACAGCTCACTGAAATTATTATTAATTCGATTAAAAATTTTTATTATTATATTATACTGAAGAAGACAAAAAAAATAGTCGAAACGTCTACAAGTTATGCATATTAGATAAGAATAAATTGTAAAACAATTTTTACGTTGCGATAACCGCGTTGATTTATTACAACTATTTTTATTTTATTCTCTTTCGTTTGAAATTTTGAGCCTTTATTAGTTCAAGTAATTTTCAAAGTTATTAATTCCGTCTTCAATCATTTCTCTTTATAATTGTTTATAATTTTTAGAATATATTTCATCGTTCATTTCTTTTTCTTCTAAATTTTAAGAATAAAATTTTAAGACAAAAACCATTGATAAAAATTTTCTGTTAGTTTACATTAATTTTACATTTATTTAATATTTAGTGTTTTATATTGATGTGATTATTACATAATGTGAAGCATAATTATATAATCGTACAGTGATTTAATTTTCACCGTGTAGGAACATACTATTACGTATTTGTTACAACAAGGAGCCCCACCCGAGAAATTAGTTTTAGGGCTAGCGATGTACGGAAGAACTTTTGTTCTTATAACTGTACCAGAAACGCCTAAGATAAATCCGATTGGCCTACCTAGTATGGACACCGGATTCAAAGGACCTTATACGTCTGAAGAAGGCTTTATGGGATTCAACGAGGTATTTCGCTATTTGATCACATACACTAAGCTGTTAAATTCGTAATGTTAAATTATATCAAATTTGAGTTATCTTTAATTTTTTTAAGCCACTATTGTTCTTACTTAATATGTCGTTAATTTAATTAAAAGATTGGAATTTAAACAACTGAACTAAAACAAATGTATTCAATTAAAATTCAAATTTAGTTTATTACTTATTGAGCATACGTTAATATGGACGTTGTTCATTTTGAAACGAACCACAGAAATCGATTTACGTTTTGACACATATAAAAATTAAATAATAAAATGTTATTTAACTTAAGAAAATAGGTTATCATTCATCCGTTGATATGTAACAATGTATTTATATCATATTTAATTGTTGTTTCCATTATGTTTTTTTTTTTTGTAAATCATAATTTTGACAGTCAATAATTATATAACTATTTTTTTGTAACAGTAATAGTAAATATATATAAGCAACACTGCTTATGCGATTAATAAAGATCGTGTTGTAGTTTACGATAATCGCAAAGCCATGATAGCCAAGGTATTTTTTCTACAGTTTAAAAAAATAATCTCTTAGTGAAAATCGATTTTTTTCTTAATTACACGTTTTTAGAAATGAATATATAAATCCCAACCGATAAAAAATTTTTCATGCATAAATATGTATAAATATGTATAAACATACATAAACACGCATAAATATTAATAAACATTTATAATTATAT